TGACTTTGCCAGCTTTGTTCAGGTCCAGCATTAATGATCATCAATCCCGACCACCGGCACTGGCTGTGAGAGAAAATCACTGCCGACAAACCAAAAAGAATTCCACCGGTTGTGTGTGTGTGTGGGTCTCAGAGAGCAGATTATCACATCAACCAGTGCGCCGTTGAGGCCTTTGTGAGCGGAGCAAACTCACAGTAGCCCGAGCGCCCAACATCAGCACCAAGCATCTTCCAGCTGCCCGTCGGAGCCAGTTCTGCGCCAGAACGCGCAGAATCTACCGCAGCGTGCCCGGATGTAGGACGCCGAGCGCCAGCAACACGAACACCCATCAAAATTGACAAAATTGAATTCTAGGGTGCAAGTTCGGAAGTTTGCACATCATGCCAGAAAGGCAGGGCTTCCGAAAAACTCCGTGCAGCCTAGAGCTGCTTCACTTTCGCGCTCGCCTCTTCTTGCCACGCGAAGGGAAATCCGCTGGATTTTCGCTGGAGGGGACAAAGATAAAATGCAGCTGAAGATTTCCAGCCATCGCCAGAGAAGCGACCTTCCGCAACAGCCTGTTCAACTGTGAAGATGACCTCCCTTTCGCGGCCGCGCCCAGAAAACTGCAGAGTCAAGCAGAACAACAACTCTTGTCGAGTGGTGCTTGGTGGACCGCAGAAGCCACTTCAAGAAAAGCACGAACGCCTCACCTTCCAGGACGTTGATGTGTGCATGAAATTTGGAGCGAACACTGAAGATGTCGGAAAAGCGCTCAAGCTTCAATTTGTCAGAATCATGGCCAAGTAGCGTCCCCCCGGCACATCCAGAAAGTATCCGTCTACTAAGTCAACCCCAACACAGGTACCACAGAGCGCGTCGTCAACGTCCTTCTTAAGATTTCGGACTGCGCATCGTGCATCCATAGCTGCATCGAAAGCTCTTGCTGCTTCACAGGTGGCACCAGGGCCAGCGTCGCTGAAAATCATGACATCATCGGTGGCCACCGCAGCAACAAGCTCAAACGATGTAGGTGTCACGCAATCACAAGCCAAGAGAGATGAAGTTGGTATGCCAGCATCTTGACAAACACTCAGCATCTCTTCTTGGACTATGTAAGAAGACCAAGAAAATCCCATAGGCCAGACGCAGTGCAAAGGATATAGCAAACCTTCGCGCTAAGCATGTCCATCTTCCATGTGCTGCCGCTGATCCGCCACTGACATTCCAGCATTGACAAGTTCCACTGTGGAGATGGGCGGTTTGGCCATGTATCGACGAAGAGAGCTGGGAAGCTTCAACTGGTCAAACCAACACGTAGCATCGCGCTTGCTAAGGCGTAGTGGTATTCCATCGCTGCACTCCAGAAAGGTCAACGCAGTTGGGGAAGCCAAGTGTCTCGGCTTTGGAGGTGCAGAAGCTGATTCTGAAACACGCCGGCCGTGCCATACCTCCCTCAGGCGTTCACCCCCAGGCTTCCCAACAGCGAAAGTGGTACCACCACCCTTGCAAAAAGTTGCTAAACTCAACTTACCACACCGCAGCTGCTTGACAACCAATTTTGCATATTCGTCTTTCGGGCCCTTAAGGAGAAAGATTCAAAAACACGCAAAGAATCATCGCTGTTGTCAAGGATTCCTTCAGGTGTTGCCAAGCTGGCCCGCACATGGGCTGGCAAGTGGGGCAAAGGATCGCATAAGCCAGCCGCTTGCAAGTTGTCCACCCTGTCAGCAACCAAGTCTTGGAAAGAAGTTGTACCTGCAGTGAAACCTGGCACAAAATCTGGCACAAACCGCTCCCAGCCATCTTGCGCATGTTGCAGGCGTGTGAGTGTCCACACTGTGCGATCCACGATGTTTTTCAAAACTGCTTGTTGAGCGAACGTGTGCTTGCCAGTCGGCACTGTCTGCTTTATGCCGTGCAACCAGTTCAGAATGCCAATGACCACGTTGATGAATTGGAGGAGCACGCTCCACCTGCCACTTGTCATGTCTACAGGCTTCAGCATGCTACCACCAAGCGGGGCCAAGGGAAAAACATCTCGTTGCCGAGTTCTGACCGGCGGCTGCACAGGCAAGGAATTGCAAAGAAATTCACCCAACACTCCAGTTCCAGTTTTGGCGGCAAGGGCGAGACGGTAGAACAACCAAACCTTGTCTGATGGAATGGTGGAATGGCCATCTGCCCTCCATGCCAGCCACAAAGCCCTTCTGCGTCGGGAAGAACAACGGCTGGCAGAAGAACGGCCCTGTTTTCGATCGGAAGCATTCTGACGCGTGGCATGAGCAGAGGCTCTGTGGAAGTCGCGTCTTTTCTTGGATGGTGACATGCAAACTCTTCCCCGATGAAAACTTCTTTGCTGGCGGAAACCAAAAAACTCCAGCGAGGAGATCCAACGAGAGAGGAGCTTGATCACTGCCCACCCATGCCGGACGGACCGACACAGACACCGCACGAAGCGACCCTGATTTCTGACTGGAGCCCATTTGGCCACATTTCTACCGTTCATTGAAACAATTGATATCAGTTGATACTGGAACTCATCACTTTTCGGTTTCTGCTGACGAATGCATCACCTTTCACTGAACGGTTCGTTCATGAATAATTGTCCATTCGGTAACACCCCGACGCTTACATTCGATACTAAAGGCCCCCGACATTTAATTCTGTTCTAAAACTCCCCGACGATTACATTCGGTACTAAAGCCCCCCGACAATTACGTTTTGTACTAAAACCTCCCGACAATTACTTTCTGTACTAAAACCTCCCGACAATTACTTTCTGTACTCAAACCTCCCGACAATTACTTGCTGTACTAAAACCTCTCGAAAATTACTTTCTGTACTAAAACCTCCCGACAATTACATTCTGTACTAAAGCCTCCCGACAATTACATTCTGCACTAAACCCTCCTGACAATTACATTCTGCACTAGGACCCCCCAACGTGACCTCTTCCCACAGTGCCGCATAAAAAAAAGAACCCTTAGCATAAAGAAAGAAACCATTAGCATAAAAAAAGAAACCAGGAGCATAAAAGAAAGAACTGCAAGCATAACAGAAAAAACCATTAGCATAAAAAAAGCACTATAAGCATAAAAAAAGAAACCCATACCCCAAAAGCACACCAACCCCGCTGTGAGCATAAGAAAAAAAACCATTAGCATAAAAAAAACACCCAGCCCAATATATTTTGGCATGCTCTCAGAAACCCTTGGCGAATGCCAAGCTTACAGGGCTTACAGTCCTGAAGTTGGGGACGGTGGTCTGCCGGTCTTGCCTGTGTTCGACTGTACACAAGTCTCACAGTCTTCACGGTTCATCAAATGGACCGGAAGGAACGAGGTGTCGGGCTCAAGGGGCTCGCACCCTTGGTCGCAAGAAAACTTCAGATTCAAGATTGGCCTTCCAGTCATATCCTGAATCACGAAGGTCCAAACAGTGTTCTCCTTGAGCAGTCCGACTAAGTGGCACTACTCTTCCAAGTGCGCCAGTGACGTCTGGCTTTGTATGGCTTCCTCGACTCACGGGCTCCAGTAATTCGGCAGGGTCTCCTCGCCATGAACGAAGTGACAAATCCTCGACTTCGAAGTCTGCTTCTTTCGCAACAGCTTTTTCAGCATCATTCCCGATGAAGGAAAGCACAGGGCATGAAGGAAAGGACAAATCGTCAATCCCTCTCAACGGCAAGGTGGCAACTTTTCTTCGTCCCACACAGTGTGGCGCTTCGGACAAAGCACGCGGCTCGAAGGTACACGATCTCAGTCTTGACTCTGAAAGGAGGTGCCCACCGTTGTGACTGGCAGTTTTGGAGTCTACACTGCTCAGTGGCAAAACACACCCCTTTTGCCGGGTCACCTGGAAGTCCAGGTGTTGAGTGACATGCTCTTCTGATTCCACCGCCAGCAGCATTTATCCATTTTGGGACAAACGTGGTCCTGTTGCTGATGCCTCACCAACACGCTTCACACATGACCATCACGTTTCCACGAATTGAAGACAACATGACTGGGACCCTGTCTCTACGAGTGGGACCCGCCACGTGGGCTCAAACCCTTGGGTAAGTCGATGAGCGCTCCGCGTCTGGGAGCCAGAAAGATATATAGGTCTCATGCATGGATGGTTTCAGAAAGACTGTATACACTTGTATACCCATCTGCTGAAGCTTCGCATCCAAAACATCCACATCTCTGAAAAGTGAATTCTCAGAACATACATAGATCATCGACAATCCATGGGACTGGAATATATATATATATATGCCAACATTCACCCCTGACACCACACATGATCAGGATCATGTAGCTCAATCACCCCTGGCACCATCAAGTATACTAGGATCATGTAGGTCAATCTTCCGCACATGGAGTGCCTGGCTACTCCGAAATCCATCAGCCAAATCCTTACACATAAAAACAAAGGCCACTAGCACCATCATCGTGCCTTCTTGTCATCGCAACCACCATGCAGGTACCTCAGCCGCACACCCAACAGTCCCACCACCCGCACACCAGGGTACGAGATGCTCGAAGGTGCAATCTCGAACTGCCCAAAGACAGCCTTTCATGAGGTACAACTTTGACACCGTTCTTCACGTCGATCTATGAACTACAACAACAACTATGAATCTGAGGTTTGAAAGCTCTAATTGAAGAAGTTGCATGAAGTTGCGGAAAAAAATACAATAAAACAATGACAAAAAAAGCGCACGGATGATAACCATCTGTGACTCCGCTGGATCCTGGATGCAACACGCTCCTCATCCGGTCAGCTATAGGCCAGCGAGAAGAAAGACGGTTCGGCCAGCTCATCCGATGAGAAAGTCTGAGGTGTGGGAAGCGATCGAAGCCCTGAAACCTCACAATCGAAGCCTAGAAACTCCAACGATAATCGAGCTTCAACAGGTACTTGTTGAGGACTAGCTGACTAGCTTGATTGTGAGCTGGGGAGGTGATCAACAGAGTGAGGCGAGTCAGGAGGCCTTCCTGACTTTTACAGTGAATAGGACATGCCCAATCCCAGGTTTCAAGAATGAATAATCATAATCTAGCTTTAACATGCTTCAACGCAACCTTGCAACGGCACAAATAGTACAACAATAACAATTTAGATAAGACACCCAAACCAAAGATCTGATATGATCATCATGATCTAACCCAAATCTTATATATCTTGTATAGCCTAGCCTCTGGCATGGCGCAGCCATGGGTCAGTGAAGCGAGGTGGTTCCGGCCCTCCTCAGGTTCGGTGGTATTCGACCCCCCTGGCATCCACCCACCCCAACCATCTGCTCAGGAGGTAGGAGCCCTAGGGCAGGAGCCTCTTTTCCACGGTGTTACTTACAGTGTTTCATCTTATCTTCGGGTCTTGGGCCGTTTTCGAAAAGCCGCCACGACCCGTGGTCCCGGTCGGGGAACCCTTACGGAACCGCCGCCCTCCGGGGAACCCGTGCATTCGCGTGTTCATGGTGACCTGCGGCGGTGCTCACGTCAGAGTGCCGCATTCGGGCGAGCGTTTCACCCGTTCGTCGTTCGATCTGAACGAGAAGGTAGGGAAGAAGAAAGTGGGGTCTATCATTCCCAGCAAACAAATGGGTCTATCGGCCTGAAAGTCGGTCAAGGCCTTTTGACTTTCAACCAACGGGTCAAGCCTTTTTTTCTACCTGGTGGATCATGAGGACTCTCTGTCTTGGGATCCCAGGTGGCTGTCGCCCGGTCGACTCGTCGATGTCCCGTTGACATCGTTGGTCTTGGTCTTTCGGTCGGTCGTAGGTCTTCCAATCGCTCGGGTCTCAGTTCCTGTATCGTCTTAGACTGGAGCAGCTCTCCGCAATTGGAGGCCTTGAAAAGCTCTCGGGTCCAGCCAGGTTGGACTCTAAAGCCCAAACGGAGCATAAAGGGCCTACTTCTGGCCCCCTTAAAAAAACCAACCACCAAGCCAGGTTCTCTTCCGCAAGGCCGAAGAGTTGCTGTATATATATTTTAGGGATCCAGGTCCAGGTTTCTTGTCAGAAGGGGATTGGAGACACATTTATATAGGCTTGGAGGGCCCAGTCGTACCTTCTGAGAAGGTACGTACCACTAAATCCCCAAAAACAAATCAAGATACAGATCAGGATACGGCCCCTCAGTAACTGAATATGTTTGAAATTATTTGAACATATAGGTTCCATCAGCTGAGTATACAAATATATGTTCCAATACGGCCGTATACTCAGCTGCCCACGTTGCCCACGTGATGCTGGCCACTCCGTCTCCCTCCGTCTCCCGTCCGTCTGCGATCCGCATCTGGCCGCAGGGACATCCTCAGCTTAGCTCGGCCCGCGCGGCCAGCGAGAAAAGAAGCCCCTGCGGCCAGCTCTCCCATGTCCAGTGATGAAAAGGTTTCATGAAGGAATCCAAACGTTTGGAGTTTGGATATTGTTTTTGAAATCTGTTGCAATCCAGCATAAACCAATCCAACTTCCGAATGAACACCCCAAGTCATAGCGCCGATCAAATCGTTGAGATGGAGACAAAGCACCTGAAACCTGTCAAGTCATGGACAAGGAACCATTGAATGATATTCTCACTCAGGAGCCTCTAATATACATATATATATAACTGACTATATACTGTGTAATTATACAGCTTGCAGGAATCTCTCTGACAAACTAGTGAGTTTGCTGCAATCCCATGTGTGGAGAAAGTGCAACATAGTGCAACCAACATTTGTCTCACATTAGCACCCATGATGACGGGCAAATTCCAATGAATGAGTCTATATTCCAAACAAGCCTTGTTTTGAGATGTTACCTGGAAGATTGACAGATCGCATGCAGAACGAGCGCGCCCATATACTTTTGGGGGTGTTTCGCCGACGACCGGAAGGACCACGGTACTGCCGTGTTGTCCTGATGCTGCAGGAGTTGTTTCATCGCGTTGCATTAGGCGAAGCCCCAAAAAACCAGTTTCAGAAGACAAAGTAAGTACTATACCCAAAAGTTGTGATATATGCGCTGTCTAAATCATCTTGTGGTCATCTTGTGCTGTCATCTTATGGTAAAGTTTTCTCCATAATCTAGAATCTTTGGGATTTGCATAACTGGGGTCCCATTTCGGTCGTTTTCGTTCAACTGTCAGGGATACAGAATCATTTATGCAACTCGGACACACAAAAAGAACTGCTCCAATGATTGCTGAAAGGATTCGACCTGAACTGGTGTCTACTCAGGGTCACATTTCTGGAGAATGAATCGAGATTGGGAGACCCCCAATCCAAATGGCTTGGGCATGCTTTCTGTCCAAGTGTCCCCATGTTGCTTCAGATCGCAGACGGACAGCACCTCACAAGCCATCGCGACTGACATCATGACTGCCAGCAGCCGATGCTTCAACAAAGCATTTCTCAACGAGCAACTCGACCCAGCATAGAAGTCACTATAAGAAGCAAAACACTTGCAGAAATGAAGAAATCCGGTGTGTCCTCCATGTACAAAACATGTGCGTTGAAGTCTGTTTTGCTGGAACATGCTGGATGTAAGCGATTGTTTTAGAACGAGGACAATGCAGCAAGAATGGATTTGAGATGATTTGAGCTTACCCCCACCGTGACATTCAATGTCTTTCCTATCAAAGTGATTCTCAGGCCAAAGCGACAATAATTCTGTTTAACACAGCGCTATACGTGTTAACCCTTCTTTTTGTCATTTTGAGGCCAAAACCACCTGCCAAGATCCACGTCTTGGCAGATCCGTGAAGAACCACCTAACTACCGAGGTGAAGCTATGAGTTCACAATACTTCACCATGAATCTGCCATGCATGAATGCGTTTCATCAGACGATGTTCGACCCGATCCTTTTCTTTTTCTGCCCAAGAACCTGGCAACTGTCAACCATTAGAAAGTCACAACCAGTCGAGTCTGTTTTATTGTACAATTCCACATCAAATTCCTCAAGAGGTGCTTGAGGACTTGATCGACCTCCGACAAAGCCTGAGCACCTGAACATCACCGATTGCCCGATGACGGGGGCTGGTCGACAGGGGTTTCGCTTAACCAAATGGGTTTCGCTTAAAACCTGGTCCCCCAAACCATGTCTCTTCTGTTCATTGGGCGGTCAACCGGTCGGTCCCCCTGTTTTGACCCACGGAGCATCCAAATCAGCTGGTCCATTGTCTGAACAGGAAGTAGAAACAGAGTTCCAAAGCCAACTCTGAGGGGGCTCTCCTCAGGGTCGGGTTGGACAATCGCCTGGCTGATCCAAACCACCTGCAAAGAATGGCGAATTTCTGGTCCTAGGTGTTCCAGAAATCTAGGAAATAGCCTGGGACCATGGCTCGGACTCAAAAGAGCCTTGAATGGGTTCGCCCTCCCGCCATGGTAGGACATTTGCATCAACTTCGACAGCTAGTGCCTGTGTCAGAACCAGCTATCAATCGACAACCATTCACTTCTTTTCACGTTCGGTGAGAACCTCAAAAGCAATCAAAAGCATATATATATCGCCTGACTTGCACTGCCTAGAAACCCATGGATCTTTAATGATACCCAGGAAAATGGATCTTTGCATATCTTTGCCCAGTTCCAACCCAGAAACGTCCATAAATTCTTTCTATATGAGCATCTGCCCGCGACATCGCTTCCAACCAAGAAATGGAGCCCAGTCCATCAATTCTTTCTATGTCGCTTCGTCAGGACGTCGATCTACCGTGCTTTCTGCGCCTTGGTGCCTGCGACAAACGTCCCCGACCCGAGCGCGATGCTCAGGCTCCCGAGCCAGGTTTCGGACGGGATGCTCATTCTCTTGATCATCCTCCATTGCGCCTGTGCCACAAAAACATGGGATGAGCGTGATGGAAGACCTGTTTTGGGGGAATCACAGTGAGGTGAATCACACCACCAGAGTTCGGAAGTGTTTAAACGATCGAGCAAAAATCCTGCACGGCGCACGATCTCTTCAACTTATCTGAAGCAACCAACACAAACCTAAGGCGTGCACATTGTGCGTCTGCTAGCTGCTAGCTCTTCGTCTTGCTAGCAGTTTGCCCAAATCTTTGGCTTCATGCCTCACTCGACTCACATTCGCTTTTTCATTGTCCACATTATCATCATTTTGAGGTATCCAGTGATCAAAGACCTCTGTTGTGGCAGTCTCACTCAGAGTTTCCAATGATCATGGACCTCTTTTTGATGTCAGTGGGCACCCTGCAACAGTGACGAGGAATGCCCACATGTATGAGGCGTACTCCCATAGTCATGTTTATGAAGGCTGGCCGCAAGTGAGGACTGGCACCAGGATACCGAACTGGTTGTACCGGTCCATCTACATGGACTGGTCGGGCTGGTCTTAAACCCATGCCCCTGGAAACCCCATCCCAACCAGAAACCATTTCAATGGATCTTTGCCCCAGTCCCAGCCGCTTCCTATGCAAAGGATCTCAAGCCATCTTGGAACAACCAGAGATGTTTCTGGTTGGGAATGGGTTTCCAGGCCCGCAGTTCTTCCACTCACACCATCTCTCCCCCACCGCTGTAGACTCTTCCCCCCACCTGCGGGTTCTGACTCGCTCGCGGCCCAGGTGGCCAGCTGTCTTGGTCGCCCCCGCAGCGGTCCGTCTCGGGCCGCGTCGCCAGGACGGGGTCTATTTGAGCCATTCCCGCAGAGGTGGTGGGTCTCCAGTCGCTTCAAACACCCCAAACATACAAACACCGTAAAGAAACGCACCTTTTATGCGTATACTGGACCCTGATTCCTGTTCAAGTGCGATGTGCTTCAAAAATACGAACAACCTGGACCACCCCTGTACATTCCGCTGACTAACATGGACCTGCATGGCATGGCCACTGTCACTCGGCAACCAAGGGGCAAGCAACCTGCACTTGAATGCTGGATTTTCGGAGCAGAGAGTACTAGAAACCATACAGCAAATCTTTTAGATACTCAGTGTGAAAAACTTGGCTGTCGCATCACAGTGTACAGCTCAGGTATTAATGCAGTCCGTGCAGTGATATCAAAATGTGGGAGTGCAAGCGGTCAGAAGCCGCAAGATGCAGAAAATTTACCAAAGTCTTCAAGACTGTTTTGCAATCTATTCTGCCATGCTGAAAGGTGCGTAGCACAGGTCGATACAAAGATGGGTTTGGGATGGTATTGGAATGTTTTGAACCCGTTTCACAAGCTATTGTGATTTGTAAGGGGAATATTCTATCTCCTTGCAAGGGTACACAGTCTTCGATATCTTTCTCGTTCGCAGTCAAGCAGCCCTTTTCAGCGCCACGTGTTTTTCAACGCCACGGAACCCTCTGCACTTGGATTTTCTCCAAGACAAGAAGAGTCTTGAGTCATGTGATGTAAGAGTGAAGATTCTGATCACCAACTTGATCGAAAAAAGTGACCCTCGAAGAGCTTGACAAGCTGTTGGAAACTCTTTGGATTTGGCACGTCTCAATACGAGACTCTACGAGGTGAAACTTTCACCTGTAGAGGTGGCACAATGTGTGTCAACAATACTCCTCTGGTATGGACCTAATGACTATGTGATCATGACCAAACTGTTTAATAACATCTAATAACCAGGCGGAGTGTGCTCTCGCATTTTTGTTGGCGACAAAACACACATTTCAACAACTGCTCAGGTGATCAAGCCCATCAATTCGCCTTTTGCATCAATCACATCGTCCGGGTAGTGACCCTCAACATACTTCAGCAGCTCTTGAGGTGAGGCGGCCAAAGCACATTGTCTCAGAACTTGCCTGGGCATTCAACAACTGGCTGCGTATTTTGCAAAAACTATCAACAACTAACCTACTAGCTCCTGGCATTACTACTAGTAACAAGAAGCTAGTAGGTTAGAGGCCATCGCTACTAGGGTGGAGGCCATGGCTAATACTAGCAAGAAGCTAGTATAAAATCCCAATGCGCAAAGTCCCGCCCACTTACAAATCCCAACAGCTCTGGCTCCACGCCATCGCCCCCGGAACCCCACCGCTCACTACTCCACCCACTCTTCACGCCAAAGCATACGCCAAACGCTTCAGCTCAAATGTGGGATTTTAACAAACAATCCACTGGCGGACTGGGTTGCAGTGGACTGCCTGGAAGCAAGAATAACACCAAATGTAAGCCTGATCAGAATCCAAAGTGTCTGGGAAAAACAAAGGCTTTAGACTTCAGAGTCAAATGCTACAAATGCGTCTCGTACCCCTCAAAAAAAGGTGGGGGAATCTATTACATACACTATACCTTCTAATGCCAATTATTTTCAGTCACTAGGCCAGTCTTATTGAACACTCAACTATTGCCCGCTGTCTCAAATCAAACACATATTCCTCCACAGACTCGTGTATATCGCAGCAAACCTAAGGACATTTTCCACCTTTGGTCGACCTTCACAGTATCCGGAGAATGTGCGTAGCCAAAGGACCAAAATCAACAGGAAAGAAGGAGTGAAGCAACAACTGCACCTGAAGACTAGTAACAGACTCACCTCAGTTTCATTGATGGACCCCGATGGACCCCAAGAACCCACCCTGAACAACTTCCGCTTTCTACCGAAAACTAAGTGTCCCCAGAAAATCTGTGATGCACACATTTCGGTTGCCAGCAGCTGGACTAGATGTTCATATGGATCTCCTCCATCACGATCTATCATTTCATGATCATTTCACTTCTTCAGGGATCCTCATGGGTTCTGATTTATGGGGGTGGAAAGCCGCTGTCCTGTAAAGGATGATTTCCCAGAAAGCTGCAGGCGTTTTTTTGACTCGAGCTTGGATGGAAAGGAAACAAACAACTTACCTATCATCTCCAGGCTACAGTAGCCCTTCATAGATCTGAAGAAGTCGCTCCAACTGCTTCTGTCCGCTGCGTGCCCGTGGAATCTCCAAGATCTTGGTGAAGGCGCGCACCTGACGTAGCACCGCTGATGGATTTCTATATCTGATCCAAATACATCCAGTTATGAAAGTCAATCTCTTCAATACCTCTGATGAAAGGTTTTGTCACGATCACCATGCATGTCATATATAGGATACAGAAGGTCACCTATTAGGATGCTGGCAATCGTGTTTCCTCAGCGATTCGTCCACCCATAAATCAACAGAACGGGTGCTCCTGGGAGATGTTTTTCATGCAAAAAATGATACAAAAACACTGTTTTACAGTGATTTCTTGCAAAATCCTCTCCAAAATTGAGGTTTTGAGCTATTTTTTTGAGCAATTTTGTGAGATCCAAGCCTATCCCAATTTAGAGGGAATACCAAAAAAACAAAAAACCAATAAACCAAAAAACCAAAAAAACAATAAACCAAAAAAAAAAAATGTTTGAGACAAAATGGGGTCACTATTGGTTTTTGGATGTTGGCTGCATTTTGTGTCAAACATTGTTTTTTTTTTTTTGTTTTTTGGTTTATTGTTTTTTTGGTTTATTGTTTTTTTGTTTTTTTGGTATTCCCTCTAAATTCGGATAGGCTTGGATCTCACAAAATTGCTCAAAAAATAGCTCAAAACCTCAATTTTGGAACTTTAAACACAATCTGATATTAAATCAAAGCCACCACTAACTTTGAAAAGGACTTTGACTAAAATCTAATTGTAAGAACTAGTTTCCACAATGAGTTTTAAAGAGAACTTGGAAATGATTTTTATTGCAATCTAATATCTATATAATAAATAGCAAATTCCACAATCAATGTTAAAAGGATCGTGATTGAAATCTTCTAATTTGAGTTTGCCTAAATCTATTTTAATTCCAGTTTAGTTAGTTTAAGAACACACATGTTACAAAACCCTATATTTTACAGTGTTTTTTGCCCTAGGAGTGCTGGGAACAAGACACAAACTATGTTTTTGAGTAGATAGTATTTGTTTAAAGTAATCCCTTGGAATATTCATTGCTATATTAAAACTGCTTTATGTACAAACTTCTAATTCAAAAGGTTCCCTCTAGATCTGATCACTTCTGTGAAAAATATAAAGCTTTCATTTCAAAAGCTTTCCTCTGGATCTCTGGAAATAGTCATGGTATTTTAAAAAAGCTATAAGTATGTATGTAAGTGTTTCTTTCAAATGCGTTCCTTCAATGAAAATACACAAATCTAGGAAATCTACTTTCCCAGAGATCCAGAGGAAAGCTATTGAATCTAGAGATGTATAGTATTATATCTTCATTCGCTCATGATGCTACATTCATTGTGGGCAGAGAGAGATTTACATGATAATATGTATCATTGGTGTTGCACATTGATAGTGGGCAGACGAAGAGCTGTTATTTGTTGTCATTGACATTGGACATGGAGACTGGGCACAAACAGATCCAACAAATTGCGTTTCGCCTAGTTCTCAGAGCAGTTTTTGAAATTTTGCACGGTATTTACAGTGTTTTCTAAGGGTTTTGAGCTAGTGTGTGCTCTCCCAAGCACACCCACCCTCTAAATCAACCTGTGTACCTCGTCTGAGGCGAACAGCTCTTCCTCCTTTGAGCAGCTGTTGTAGAAAGCTCGTTGCTGTCTATGGCTGGAGGTTGAGCGAATGGATCATTCTTGGCACAGCTGGTATTTCAATCCAAAGGATACTGTGAGTCGTACTACCGCCACCCATAGGCCAACATAGAATTCGAAGTAGGAGACCTGTAGAAGACGAGTTTCATCTACAAACATCTACAAACCAGTAATAGTTTCATTTCTTGGTCGTGTACTGGACAGGTCAGTCGAAGGGATTGGTCATCTGCCCACTGGTCGGGACTTTCTGCCGCAGTGTGGAATCCAATTTAAACCAGTAGCATCATTCATAATTTACAGAATTCCCTGACCAAATGCTTGAGCCATCAATCATCGGGAAACCCTGAAAAGACTCCGTTCCAGATGGCCAGATAGTAAATTTCCACCCAAACTGCTGGACTACTGGCCCTGGCTGAATTGGCTGAGCTGTACAAAGCTATGCGAATCGCGATTTGCTCGATGTCCAGCAATATTGGCAGCAAAATGGGTGGCTGCATGTTCATCAATTTCAATGGTTTTTCCACGGAATTGAGAAAGAGGGTTTGGTCAACAGTCGCGGGGGTCATGATGTCATCCACGGAATCTGAATCGCAGCTGAAGAGCAATAATGGCAAACTCACGTGTGCTTGCCCATGTGCCGTCTGCTGTGCCTTCCAACCGGCGGCGAGCTACATCGCGGACGAAGCCCAGTAGCTGGTCCTTCGTCGGTTCCACACGGTCCGCCGGTCAATGATCCATTTTTGGTCTTGAGGGGTCAGTTTTGTGAGTCAAAAAAGGGATTCGACGTTTCGGATGTTGATTTTTTCCAGCCAACAGATTGGGGCCAGCACACCCGAGGCAGAAAACGGACCTCTACACCTGGACTATAGCCATGTGGCCCTATGTGGCACTAACCTGGGCTGAAGGAAATCGCATGCCATGGGTGGAGTAGCTTTGCCCAGGTGAGAGTGACGATCTGATGTCCCTCTTCCACCGACAGCAGGTTCTTTTTAGCACATGCACAAAAAATGCGCCAGATCTTAGTATAAATGCTTTGCTATTGGGGTCATCAGCTGGGTTAATCAATTAGCACATGTACGAAAAGCGCAGCAAACCGTGGATCAAGCTTGTCCTTCAATGCGCAATTAGGCCAAGAGCAAATGTCATTGTGGTAGTTAAATCCGTCCTTGGATGAAGCACGGCAAAATAATTCGACACATGGTTTTCGCAAACAACTTCTGAGCCATTGTCAAGTCCTCCTTTTTGAACACCTGATGAAGGCGCCAAAGTCTGATCACACTAACAAATGATCTAGCAGCTATAAAACTGCATCGCATATCATCGCATGGTCTGTGGTACTTTGATGGCACGGTTCAGCTAGTTCTTATTGATGAGTCAACAAAAACGCGTCGCACCGACCCAACTCTAACACGCATTCAGCGATGCCGAGGGGCACGGCGCCGCACTTCAATCAGTGTTGACTCATCGATGGAGCGCATCTCATCGATCTGCAGCGCTTCATACTCAGATGGACACCTCCGAAAGACGAAAGGCGACTCTGTGGACATCCCGTGGAAGCGGAATTGAGCAGGTGACTCTGTGGACAATGACACCTTTGGACAATTCAGGAATTTGCCCAAAAGATCCCAAAAGAATTCGATAGCTTGGCACCTAATCGAGAGGGTGGTTTTAAATACATAAATATATACCTTAAGCAACAAGACACGTTATTTGAAAGGGTTCAGTGAAATACACAAGGTTTTCTATGGAAACCCAATGTATTTGAATATGGATGATATTCAAAATGTTTCACTGACTCCTTTCTCATCTCCACACACCATTCCGCCCACTGATGCGGCTACTTTGGCTTCGACCTCGATGAATTCGCGGTAGGGCTTGTAAGTTGAATAAATACCTTCCCTTAAATACAACTACAGCCGACAGCATGAAGTTAAATACTCAAATCCTCTATTAGGTGGCAAGTTCAGGCTCCCAACGAGAGCAGCTGGCCACACGTCCTTGGAGCAGCTGGGTCGTCAAGTTGCATGTTTTGCCGGTCTGGGCTTTGTTGGTGGGACAGCCATAAAGGCAGCTAGCGCTAGCGGCGGTGTGCTCGCTTTCTCTCGAATGGTCCATGGGCACCTTCCTGATGGTAGGATATTGTAAGATTTATAAGAGGGTAATTGACCGATCCATACTCTCAGAGATGTGTGTTGAACTAGAACTCAGACCCGGTACCCGACACAGAAACTGTCTCGCCCAGCTCTCGGACCGGACGGCAGATCTCTCGGAAACACCAACCGCCACATGTGGCGCCCCGCCGTTTCCCGCGGTCGGCGCCTGCTTTCCTCTCGGGCCAGGACCTCAATGACCTGCCGGTCCCCGTGAAGCGTCGAAGGCTCGTCCAATGGATCGATATCATCTATCAGGAACCAAAACGCCCAATAAGGGTGTGGGAAACCTGACCGTCAAGACCCAGAACAAAATGGTTCCTCCATAAAAATGGTGTGAACCTTCAGTGGTTTTGTGGAGGATGTGACCCACAGCCACATTCTTGGATCACTCCGGAGGAGTCGCTGATGTAATAGTACAGCGTAATAGGGGGATCAAAAATCCGAAGGACCCCATTTGTTCAAAAATCTAGGGAGGTCACCTATAGTACTGGCTCTAGGGGGGTCCACAAAAACGTCTTTGAGATTTTGAGCCCTTCGGCGGCCGCTTCTGCGACGGAAACGGTTTGGAGAAACAACATCCAGCAGCGAGCTTTGAAGAGCCAAGAGCTGTGTTTCAATAACCTGGATACAGTACTGTCCGAAAGACCTTTTCTCCTAAAACAGGGCCGTGCTTCTTGTCTATATGTGAATGGCTGCAGTGATGTTGAGCTCCAGCTATTTGACCAACAGACTTGATCCAAACCGAGTCAATGTCACCAGCCTCAGCAGCTGTTGCACCACTGCTCACATCAATAAAATCGCAGCCCTCGCCGTTCTGAGCGACCACGGCTATGGTCATCTGATCTTGGGGTACCTCACTTGGGCATCGGAAACAGAAAGAAAAACCAACGCATACACTGTTCTTGGACTTGATGTGATTAATTGGATTCAATTGGCATATATAGTGACGAAACATGACGAAACCCTGTTGACCATCGCACAAATTTGTCTAAACCAAACCCCAAACCACTGAAATTGTTCGGGTGCTACGAACTACAGCTCACTGGACTCCACCCCAGGTGCCTCCAGTGTGGAGAGGCACTGATGAATTTGCCGCGCCAGGTCTTCCGGGAAGGGCTCACAAAGCTCCGCGAAGCGCCGGTCCAGCAGAAGAGATTGAAGCCACTGGGTCACCTAACAAAACAATCCCAGCAAAACGCAACACAACATCTTTGGGTGGAAAACCGACATAGCAACCACCTGGCTGAAGAAACTAGTGGCAAAGAAGGATTGTCTGCCTGGGATATCGGTCTGAAAATCAAAAACTCAGAAGGTGCAAAAGAAAAGAATAAACACTGAATTGAACGATTTGCTCATCTTTGTACAAACAAATTAAGTTTCGTTATTTCTAGCAAACTTGAACAACTGATTGTGTTATATGATATGATCTCAACACTCTTGCACTAAAGTAGCTGAATGACACAAACCCCGCTTCTGATGGACCAAAGGATGCATGGAACAAGGAGTCCTCTGATCGCTGACCGGCATCACTGGTAAAGTGACAACCACTTAGCGTAAAATCTTGCGAGTGTGTTCCGACATTAGGACTGGTATGTCGTCTTGTCCAATTTAGCTGATCCTCCGCACCACCTCATTTTTTCTTTGGGGGGGTCACGTCCTGGTGCAAGTCCGCAGTTTCACTGAGATCTCGATCCATTCCTGAGATGTCGCTACACCAGGCATCATTCCGAAGTAGTAAGGAAACACGCGTCATTCCGAAGGATCGTCGTGGAGCGATCAAACTCTTGGTGAAACATGGCAAAACTCTTGGTACCAAACAAATCATATCCGAGTTCGACTTCAGTTGTAGCGAAGCGGACGTGTCACGTCAAACAAAGGCAAGTTGCGGACTTCTGGTGAGCTTGTCGTAGACGAAGGCGGTTGAGGGCGTTCACAACTTGAAGGAATTCCGGATAAGCTCCCACGGTTTTCCCTCCCCATTGGATCCTCGGATGAGTTATCACCAATCAACACCCAACTCACTCACTACAACTTACCAGCCATCTCGTCCCAACTCACTCACATCACCTGACTCAAGACAACTCGCTCTCACCTTCATTTGAGTTGTACCTTGATACTCGCTGAGTATCTGCAGGAGTCTGATCATCCTGGAGTAGCCTAAATGCCTACAAGTCATTCCTTTCTTTAGACACTTGATACTACTTGACTCCCCCAAAGTGAACCACATGCGAATCCGCGAATTCCAAACACACCGATCCAGCCCACAGTTCCGGCCATGGACGAACGATCTCGAGCCCCTTCGTCTGTCGGGACGCTGTGCGACTCGTCGAATCCGATCCTGGAAGTCTTGCGGCAGTTGTGACAGCTCTGAACGCCAGGTGTGTGACAAGTCCGCCATGGCACGTCTGAAGTGAACAGAAACGAACACGTCATAGCTGCTTCGTTTTCGCACGACAGGGAGAAGCAATGGTTTTGGAGGGACAATTGCCATCCAAACTGGGTGGGTTCCTGGATAAGACATGTTCTTGAGATTAAACATCATGAACATGACCACAGGGGTAAAGAATGGGTTGCACTGCATGAGGTTGGGATCATCAACTGCTTGCTTCTCAGAAATGGTTGACTGTGGACACTTGAACCATGATTCTGCATTGCAAGCACTGAGAGCCGCATTTCTGCGAAAGCCGCCAACGCAAGTAGTACAATTATATAATACTGATTGTCTGATTCCCTCAGTTGCCCTGGAAAATCAAGGTTAGCCTTGTTCCACCTGTTTTTGTTCCAATGGGAAAATGAGCCCCCGCCAAAAAAAGAAAAAAATGCTCTCTGACCGGGTAGGTATAGTGAACAATCGAAGCAAAAATCCTTTGCGATGAGGAAAAAAGGATGAGAACAATCAGATCCTCTGACCTACAAACAGGTGTGTATTTCAATAGGGAGACCTGGAACCAACGGGTTTGGCTAATGTTGGGTCTATTACACACCTACATGCTGTAGCCCTTGTCTTGGAGCCCTACAGAAAGATATAGAAAGATCCATTCCAGGTCGTATGTAACTTTCAATGTTCTCACAAACAACTGATAAACAACTGTCATGAAGAGAAACAAACCTCTCGGCCATAGACGTAGCTGTTTGCAGAACCCCAAACCGTTGCAGCCCAAACCTGTTTTCCATGTCACTGTCAAGGCACTAGGAAGATGGTTGGCCTTTGCAGGAAGGAAAATTCCTCACGTCTAGCCTCTGGCCATCCTCTTATAATTGTATATCAAAAATAAAAGCACTGACAAGATACAATGAAGTAACTCGTACATCCATGTGGCAGAATAAACACCGCCACAGCAGAGTGGGTGTCAAGTTGCGATTCAAATAAATACATAATACATATATATATATATATGGCCCGGTTTTCCTTCGCCATCTACCTCGCTCTCGGAGCTATTCCATCTCCAAAGGTCCAGTGTTAGCGGGTTGAAGAAAAACAGTGGTTGTAACAAAGGGCTACAAGGTTTACAAAGGTCTATATACTGTTTTTGTTGACACCTTGTTTTCTCTACAAAGGTCTACATGGCCAGTTCATGGTTGTAGAAAAACAGGTGCCCAGTGTTAGCGGGTGAAGTTAGCCAGTGAGGCTGAGTCAGCTGGCTGTGCTGCTTAACAACTATACACCACCCTGAAGTGCAACAAATAGATCTCAGAACACAAATGAAGATTCATTCTACTGCTCCCTGAAGTCCTTCATCAATCTTTTAGAATTTTGTTTCGTGGCAAAAGTGATGTTTCAGTCTACGAAAGAGCTGCTGATACACCGAATCGATCCACCAGGGATTGGGTTTGTTGCTCATCAGGGCTAATCCACCAGAAGGTTGCCATGTTTCACTGCAAGGCCCCATCGCTAGGGTGAAATGCTAAAATCATCTAAAATCTGGCCACCAATTATTATAGTAACCGTTCATTTCTCAATGCGTCACACAGTGAGAGGATCCCCTCTGCAGTTCGTAGATGGGATGTGTGCTGACGAAAGGGTGAGCCCACGATATCTACAGGTAGAAGGAAAAGCATGAGAAATATCAACCAGAATCCATTCACAGAAGGTGCTTGACAAAGCCCACAAGGAATGCCCCAGAGAAAGGAATCGTTTTCTATCGTTTTCTGCTCATGATCTCAGGCTAACCCATGGACTGCCGCCATCGACGAACAGCAGGAGGGGTACTTTTCGCACGACTTCAAACATATGAGGGGATCCATTTGGGCCAGCTACCAGCAAAGACCTCATGACAGAATTGAACATCACATCACCCAAGTACATCACATCGCCAAATGGATCCGAGACATCATGAGGCAACAGGATGAGATTTCAGCATTGAAGAGGGCAGCAGTTTTCAACCTGTTTTATATGAATACTGAAGGACCTATGTACAAACCTCTTCAACAAACTTTGCAGCCTACGTGTTGGTTAGTAACGTCTGTACTCTGAACCTTCAGCTTCATGAAGAACATCACCTTGTGGAACCAATTTTTGACAGCATCTCTCCACTTGAAGGAACCCCACAAGTTGCACATGAAGAACAAACATGCAAAATTCACACTCGACAAGTCGAAGAATGCATCTTTTTTGTCCAGTCAAGACATGTCGAACAGAACCATGGCGTCCGAACCATGGAGGGTTATTTTTGGCATCGTTGGGCCTTCTGTGTGACTTGTTGTTCTAAGGTGGCCTATGGCTCCCTATAGTTCCTTCAGTTGGGAGTAGTTTTGATGCGACCGTCTCATCCACAGGCACCGACTAATTCATTCAAGAAAGGAGTTAACGTAGTTGTCGAAGGCCATCCAAGAGCAAGAGCCTGCAAAATGCCAAACTTGCAGCTGACGTCTTCAAATGTTTTTGGTTGTTCATGGTCGTTTGAAGTGTGATTGGGGTTCTGTCTATTCATGGGTTGGGGCACTTTCAAGGCCTCTCAGAATCTTCTGGGTTCAGATCATGCGCGATTCCAGGCCAAGCCCCGACACTGACACACTGGCAGGGTTTTCGATGTTTTCGAGCACAGGGAAAGTGTTTTGCATGTTCTCTTTCGCGTCCTACCTTTCAAAAAGAAACGTACCGCTTGCTGACCCAACCACAATCCCGTTGTCCAACAAACATCTCAAAACGTAAGTGGCCAGGGTACCCGGAGGAGTGCAATGGCTGGGCCCGCACCACACGGAAGCGGGAGGTCAGTGAAGCCTTCGCTAAATCACCACCTATTTGGTCCACTGCGGTCCAAACGCACGGTGGGGCAAGTATGGGATTGCTATGGTGAACTTCTGGTTTACCAACATCCCTTTACATCACTCTTAAGAAGGGTTTTGATGACTTTGATTTTATCTCAAGATGAGATTCACCCACTTATGGTTTTTTTTGGACCTGGATACTGTTACTCCACAACCTTTTGGTGGACAGTGGATGTGATCACCTGATGGGGGCTTGTTATTGGTGTCACGACCTCTGGTGACTCGCACAGGCGTTCGTGTTCCGCCAGTTCTAACATGTTCCGTTTCAGTCGTGGCTTCGACGTGCTGTGGAAGGGACGGGGTGGTGACACGAAGTGCGATGCAGTGGAGTTCCCTTGGAAAGAACACTGTCTCGAGAGTGGTCCAACGGACAACGCACGGAAAGCCAGTCAAGTGCAGCGTCGCGCGTGAAAGCAAGCGGCTTTTCCAGGTTCGAGCCAAATATGTCAGTCATATACACACATATATGAGAGGTAAGACCATACAGAAGCATACAGAAGCTAGTACAGTAGTAAGCAAAAGCAATCACAGGAGGGTGGGGGGGGCAGGGGGAGGGGGGCCAACTACGTCGAGACTTGTTGCGTTCGAGGGCCATGGTACACTGATCGCAGGTTTTGAAGCTCAATGCGTTCGTTATCCCTTCGTTGTTGTGTGTCTCTGTGGGATTCATTAGGTCTCGTCTCGCCGCGCTGGACATTTGTTTAGACCCTGACCGGTGGGTGTTAGATTTCTATTGTCTCGAGGAGTACGGGAATTTTGGTGGTTGTGTTGGCTCACTGGCGCGGTGAAAACTTATGATGCAACTTTTTTGGGGGTGGAGGGAATGGTGCGCTTGTGAATCCCAATGTAAATGCATACAAATGTTCAACAAACAGATAAACATGCAGAAAACATGACCTGAGACAAAAGATCTGCATCTACAAAACAGAGAATCACCATGAATTGAACCACGATGACACAAGTGCCACACCCACGACTACGCGGGGGTCGTGTTAGCTTGCTATTCCAGCATCAATTATCCTTGCTGTCTTGAAAACCAAACAACTCGACTCTATCATTAAACCGTTAGATCCTTTCCGCACCGAACCCGCATGTTCAACGTGCAGTTGGTCGAACAGTGAAACTATATGTACAATATCATATATGTAACACACACATATATATATATATGGAAGTCAACACCAGCCCAATTTATCTTGTTTAATTTAGATTGACTGAACTTATGGGTGCATGATTTGTAGACTACAACACATCAATCAAACAAAGTGAGACGTGGGAAACATAACAAGATACTCCTTGAACAGCACACATGGAATGCCTAACGTCCTTCTTGATGCTCCATCGAGGCACTCATCCGTGCTGTCGAACTCTGACAAAGTTAAGAGTCGGCTCAACCTCGCGTGACGCGTTGTGGTCCAAAGAGATCAAATCATTTATGCGACTGATGTCAAAGGTTAAGACTTGAAGACCCTGAAGATGAAGGATGTGAGATGACTCATTGAAACAGGGACACAAACATAACAAAACAACTGCTATAAATTACAGTAAAACCCGCGAAGTCTCGCCAAGCTGTGAACAACCCAAAACCCTCACAGCTGCAGGAAAAGCACCCTTGGTCCAGTACTTCGGGGGTTCCGACAAACATCCGGAGCTGGGTCGTCATCGATGGGTGTGGAACGACGACCCATGGGTTTGCTCGCGACGAAGACGAGAACTCCTGCGGCAACACCTTAAGAAGAAGTAACACCAGTGCTTCGAGAAGGGCCCATGAAAACCACATGCCCATATTGAGGGATCAACAACATCAAACTGTGCCCTAGTCGGCCATGGTGTTTTCTTCTGAGACTCCCTGTCCGGCTGGACGAAGTCATTAACACCCACGACTTCGGTGCAACATGTGTGCACCAGTCAGTGCACCAGTCAGCGCAAACGTGTGGAATTGGACTTTCCCCCAAAGAAACGAAAGCGACGAAAACCACACCACAGGGCAAAACCTGCCTCGAATTCTCTGTCTTGATCTGCTCGCTCGGCTGTGTCACCTGAGAGCTGGAAGTGCTGAACAGAGGACACGTTGGAATTGTGGTCATCATGGCGGTTGATCAATATTATTTCATGATGGAATTAACAACATCTGTTGTTTTATATAAAATTCCTTACACGGCAGGGT